AGTTATTGAAGACTTAAAAAAATTTTTTTAAAGTATTACCATTAGGTCCAATAGGCATGATTAATTATCATGCTGAATTAAGAATTGTTTTTTGGTGTCTGTAAGAAACTGATTGTTGGCTACTATCTTTAAAAAATGACAGGATCATTTAAATCTTTACTTCTGTTTCCTGAATGCTTTTTCTTTGATGGCATATCTTAATTTGATTCATTTATCAGTGGAGTTCAGTAGCCACCAGACTGTTTCTACCAGCCCTGTTTGGGATCTGATTCTATCTCTCCATTCATTTATTCATTTCACTTAAGTTTTCAACACAAATATCTCATTGGTAGTGTTTCAGAATATCTTTAGACGTTTTTAACCTCTTGACTTTTACCTTAAGGCTTTTCTTTTAGAACATTCAGTCATTCATTTGTCAAGTATTTGTTGAAAGTTTACTATGTGCTAAGCATAGTACTAGGCTATGAGACAAAATGATGAATCAAGTGCAGTCCTTGCTGCCTAGGAACCCACAAATTGGGGGAGTTTGGGGTTGAAGGGGAAAGGGGAAAAGAAATATATAGAGACATATAAACAAATGACATCAATATGATATGTTACTTCTTCAAATCACAACATCATAAAACACTGTTCTGCCTACTTTACTACTTATAGCTTAAGAACTCTTCTTTATCTCTACCCTTTGTAATGCTCTTCAGGCAAAAGTAACAGCTGTCAGAGTTATTTTTCTTAAATACAGATCTGATCAAGTTATTCTCTGCATAAAATACCTATGGAATAAGATCCCAACTTCTTACCATGGTGCGGTGGATAGTCTCTGTTTGCCTCTCCAGGTCCTCTCCTCGCCATACTCTGTGCCTTGGGAGGCTGACCTCTGTGGACTATATTAGCTGAGCTCCCTTGCTCTTTGTTTTCCATTTGGGTTCAGCCAATGGGAAGCATCAGCTGGAGACTGGAGACCAGGAGGAAAGAGGCCAGGTTATTTATTCTCTTGGTTCTCCATTTGTAGGGCCATTGGTTGATAGTGACTGCATTCCTCCTGTACAGCAAAGTTGTAGCCACTGCATACCATTAACTGTTCCTACCGAGGTGGATTAACCATTAAGATAATGAAATTTAAACTGCAGCTCCCCTCACCAAGGCTCTTGGAGGAGCCTTAGGAATATGTTACAAAACTGTGTATTTTTGTAAAGTTTGCAATAGATAATTTTTTGCATTTTTTTTTTCTGAAAAAGGACCACCAAAATTGTATAATCTTCAAGCTCTATAAAAGTGGATCCTCTTATGTCCCTATCCTTGACTCTCTGAGCTTAGATAAGTGCAAAGTTTTCAGGGAATGAGGAACTGCTGAGTAACCTATTTGGGAAGGTTATGATTAAATATTTCATGGATAAAGTAATAGTTTGGATTGGTCTTATAGGATGAGTAGGAGTTCTCCATGTAAAGAAGGATGGGAGGGCCATCCCTATGTAAAGCCTATGTAAAGGGAATGAGCTATGTGTATGTTTAGAAGAGGAGTACACTAAGTAGAGACCAAAGGAAGCACAAAGGTCCTGAGGCAGGAACTTGCCTGGCAGTTTTGAAACAGCAGAGAGATCCCTGTGGCTGTAGAGGAGTGAGAGAGGAGAATAGTAGGTAAGGTCAGAGAGTTCTATATTTTGTATGGCCTTGTAAGCCACTATAAAGGCTTTGGCTTTTATTCTGAATGAGTCTGGGGACTCTAGGAAGGTTTTGAGCTGAAATGTGACACGACCTGACATTTTTTAATAAAAAGAAGTATTGCAGATGCTCCGTTGAGAACAGATTGTAGGGGCAAGGGCTGAAACAGACCAGTTAGAAGGTGTTCTAGTAATTTACATGAGATGATGATGGCTTGGACACAGGAGCTAGTGGTAGAGTTTGTGAGAAATGGAAAGTAGAGTTATCAGGATTTGTTGATGGGCTGGATGTGGGGTATGAAAGACAGAAAAGAGTCAGGGATAATGCTAGGTTTTTGTGTGTGTGTGTGGCTGTGCTGGGTTTTTGTTGCTGTGTGCGGGCTTTCTCTAGTTGTGGTGAGCGGGGGGCTACTCTTCTTTGCGGTGTGCAGGCTTCTCATTGTTGTGGCTTCTCTTGTTGCAGAGCTCTAGGGACACGGGCTTCAGTAGTTGGTGGCACGTGGGCTGAGTAGCTGTGGCTCGTGGGCTCTAGGCACGCGGGCTTCAGTAGTTGTGGCACGTGGGCTCAGTAGCTGTGGCTCGTGGGATCTTCCCGGGCCAGGGATCAAACCCGGGTCCTCTGCATTGGCAGGTGGATTCTTAACCACTGCGCCACCAGGGAAGCCCCAATGCTAGTATTTTTGACCCAGATAATTGGAAGGGAGAAGTTGCTGTTTAACGAGATGGGAAAGACTAGAGGAAGCAAGTTTGAGGAATGGTGAAGATCAGGAGTTTTTTTGTACATACTAAGTTTGAGATGCCTACCTGACATCCAAATGGAGAAGGTGACTAGTCATTTGAATATATGTCTGGAGTACAAAGGACTGATGTGGTTGGGAATATAAACTGGGGGTTGTAAGCATATAGATTGTATTTAAAGCTGTGAGTGGATGAGTTACCAAGGAAGTAAACATAGAGTAAAAAGGGGAGGAGAAAAATCTCATGGTCTGAGCTTTGGGACCCTCCAACATGTCAGGGAGCTGAGAAGAAGTAGCAAATGGGACCAAGGAGTAGTTGGAGAGAAATAGCAGGAAACCAGAAGTATGGGGATCCTGAGAGCCAAGTGAATGAAGTGTTTAGGTGAGGCAGAGGTGATAAATAATTCTTGATAGATCAAATAAGACAAGAACTCATCGTTGACCATTGGATTTAGCAATATGGAGGTTACTGGTGAACTTGATGAATACTTACTTGGCAGAGTGAACTTAAGCTCAAGTAAGTACATGACAGGAGAGAAATTGGAGGGAGTGAGAACGGACTACCCATTAAGAGTTTTGCTGTAAAGGGGGACAGAAAATTGTTAGTTGGGAAAAGAGAAGTCAAGACGGGTTTTTTTAATTATTTAAGATAGGAGAAATAATATCATATTTGTATACTGATGGGAGTGATCCAATAGAGAAAACAAATTAAACAACTCAGAAATTTAGTTTTATCTACTAATGTAGGGCTATGGTGAGCAACAAGTGGCTATATTATAGAATTTGCAATCTTTTTTCAAGGATGAGGATCGCAAAGCTGCCTCTGATGTTGTTTTGTAAATATCCTTGGTATATTTTCTTTGTAAAAAATGTATTATTCAAATATAGTTGATTTACAGTATTATATTTGTTTCAGGTGTACAACATAGTGATTCAATATTTTTATAGATTATACTCCATTTAAAGTTGTTATTAAATATTGGCAGTATTTCCCTGTGCTGTACAATATAGCTTCATAACTCATTTATTTTATACATAGTAGTTTGTGCTTCTTAATCCTCTACCTGTATCTTGCCCCTCCCCACTTCCCTATCCCCACTGCTAACCACTAGTTTGCTCTTTATGAGTCTGTTTATGTTTTGTCATATTCATTCATTATTTTTTAGATTCCACATATAAATGATACCATATAGTATTTGACTTTCTCTGTCTGACTTATTTCACTAAGCATAATATCCTCTAGGTTCATCCATATTGCAAATGGCAGGATTTCCTTTTTATGGCTGAGTAGTATTCCAGCGTGTGTGTTTGTGTGTGTGTGTGTGTGTGTGTGTGTGTGTGTGTGTGTGTATGCGCCACATCATCTTTTTCCATTCAGCTGTTGATGGGCACTTACGTTGCTTCCAAATCTTGGCTATTGTGAGTAATGCTGCTATGAACATTGGGATGTATTTATCTTTTCGAATAAGTGTTTTCATTTTCTTCGGACATATAACCAGGAGTGCTCTTGCTGAATCCTAGAGAAATATTCCTTGGTGTTAAAATGTTACTGTTTAAGTTGCAGAGCTTGTGAGGAGAGACCAGTTCTGGTTCTGCCTTAATCACTCCGTATACCTTTCTTCCTTCCTTCCCTCCAATTAGCAAACTGTTATTAAGCATTTTGCTAGTTGTCAAGCACTATGCTAGATACTGGTGATACAAAGGTGGATTGGATTTGGTCCCTGCCCTTGAGTTTACAGTTTAATGGGGAAATGAGTCTCCTGTTTAGGAACTTGGAGCACACTTCATTTTCAGGGTGAGAATATTCTTACTGCTTTTCAAAATCCTTCCATCTAACAGATAAAGAGCACATTCAAGGCATAAGAAACTTCTTTGAGCTTGAAACATTCTTCCTCTTGTCTCTAGACCATCAGACATTCTTTCTCCTGTGACTCTCAAAGTGTTTTGATGATTAACACATGAAAAACTGATAATACTTTTTTCCTTCTGATTCTCTAGACCTGAATGTTTTAAAAAATATTCTTTAAAAAATAACTCAACATTTGCAAGTATGATGTATGTTATGAAAAGTGTGGGCATTGGAGCTCTCTGTGGAACAGAAATAATAATGCCTACTTTGCAGGATAGTTATGCGAGATAGATGAGAATACATAATTCATATGTGGAAGTACACTTAGAAGCTGCTCAATAATTATTATACTTTCTTATCACTTTGCCAAGGTCTGCAAACACTAACTCAGTGTGTGGAGGTAAGCTGAAGTTAGGGATATGGAGCTAAATGGATAAACACTAATTCTAAAGAGATAGCAAAGAGTTTACTATTCATCGATGGAAATTAATTGGTTCAGAGATGTTGACCATATTTATTTAATTAAGTGATGGCACTTAATTAAATTATAGCAATCTGTCAGTGTTTTCCATCTTGGGTAGTTGTATTATGTACTCGTAGAATTCTTAGTTCATGACTGTATGAAAATAGTTATTTAGATAATGCTTTTTAATGATTATGAACCAGTTATATAGATTGAATCATACCGACCCTAAATGTAATGTTGCATGCTGGGCTTTGGATTTACTACAATTTTTTTTTTTTTAATCTTCCTAGAATGGAGCTGGTTTATCAAAATCCAAAGGAAGCCGAATTGGATTTGATGGCACACAGTGGGTACGTATGATAATCAAGAACTTCCTCAATTGCCATGTTCATTTAGTTCATTCATTTATATACTTAATAAGTATTCGTTGAATGATGACAATGATAATAGCTAGCTTTGTGAAAACAGGTAGTAGGTGATAGAAAGGAAGAGGCAGACCCTGTGCCAAGTGCTTTACGTGCAGTATCTCATTTAGTCCTTATGCAAACTTTAAGAAGTCAGTACATATGTTTATCCTCAGTTCACTTAGAAAGATTAAGGTTGGTTGGCTAATAAGTGGCTGAGTCCAGATTCTGACTGCTTGCCTCCAAAATCCTCATTCACTGAGCTGTGGTGCTTCCCCAAGTGAATAAATATGTGAATCACAATTGAACCAAGAATAAAGGTAAATAGGAGTACCTATTTACCTAGTAAATTTACCTAGTAAATAGGAGTTTAGGAGTAAAAATCTATTCAACATGTTTTCTTTTTTTTTTGGCTGTGCCGCAGGGCTTATGGGATCTTAGTTCCCCAACCAGGTATCGAACCTGGGTCCCCCGGAAGTGGAAGCACAGAGTCCTAACCACTGGACCACCAGGGAATCCCATGTTTTCTTTTTAAGATAAGGAAAACTAGCAATACGTACAATAAATCCCTGTTTCACAGCCTGTACATTTATAAAATTTATAAAATATATTTTCTTTTTTCTAATCAAATTTAGAATGAAAAAACAATGCTAAAAAATTACATTTATCCTGTTAGCATATATATTGGATATGACTAGTTATTTCTTGTGGATACACTTCAATCTTTGGCTTCTCTTTAACCAGAGACATGAGAGGCTTTAGATTAGAAGTGAGTTTTCAAATCACCAAGCAGCTATAAAGTAGTGATAATTTTAGGTCATTGCTGATACCAATTGAATTTGAACTATTGTTTAAAAAGTAAAGTCTGGGATATCCTATATCAGGCTCCTCAACTATCAGGTCTAGAAGTATCAATGTAAACTTTTAATTTATTAAAAGTAGCAGTTTTGCTTTGTGAACTTAGGGTAGTCTGAGGGGAAAGGTAAGCCCTATCTCTTTCATTCAGGGAATGACCCTTGAGGTGGGAGAAAATAACAGATTGTTTTAAAAGGGTTGACTTCCAAGATAAATGAGCAAAAAATTATGGAGCAGCTTACTACATTCAGTGAGTTCTCTTTGTTAACTACATTGCGTGGTTCTGAAAATCACTCCCTATAATATTTGCAAAGTCATAGGGAAGGAGAAGTAGTACTAAAATACTTTTGTTCTAATATTTTAGAAGGAACAGAAAGGTGAAATGTCATCAATAGGTGTGATACTGAACCCTGATAAAATCCTAGAATGAGTTATTAAACAGATAATGTGAGGGGCTTAGAAGAGAAAATATGATTATTAGGAACTAGGTGTTCACTAAGAACATGTCCTGCCAAGCCCTTGTAGAAGAATGGACTGTTACAGTCTCATTGTATCCTTTTTTCAACAAGACGTTTTTCTTTCCTGTAAACAAAATGAATTACTGAAGGTCAGATGATAATACTCATGTTGATTAAGAATTAATTGGATTTAGAGTCAATTGGACATCTATGTCCAGGGAACCTTGATGATTGCATTGATAACAACCTGGAAGGCATATTTAGAAGGTGAGTTGTAGAATCTCTCCTTGACCCTGCCCTAATCTATATTTATATTAATAATCATAATGAAGCTGTGTGTTCATCAAGCTGAAAGAGATTCATTCAACAAACACCAAGCTGAAAGAGATTCATTCAACAAACATTTATTAAGCACCTTATATGTACTAGTATCTGTCATCTCATTATCTTTCTTCCTAAACCCTTTCTTCCTCTTTTATTCTCCTAGTGTAAAGCACAGAGAGTAATAGCCATGAAAGAAAAAAAATTTGATAAATTAGGCTCTCAAAATTTAAAACTGCTGCTCATCAAAAGCCACCATTAAGAAAATGAATAGCTAATGCCACAGATTATAAAATATTTGCAAAACATGTATCTGATGAAAGATTGATATCAAGGATAAATGAAGAACTGCAGTTCAGTAATAGACTTTTTTGTTCATAATCTTTATCAAATTCAACAAGTGTTGTATTCCTGATTTGCTAAGAGGTTTTAATCATAAATATTGAATTTTGTCATATTTTTTTGTGTTGAAATTATCATAGAGTTATTCCCCTTTACTCTGTTGATATGGTGAATTTTATTGATTGATTTTCAAATGCTGCCTTTCATTCCTGGGATAAACCCTACTTGGTCATGATATTTCCTTTTTTTTGGTCCTTTTTTTAAAAACTACAGGAATTGATTTTTTTAGTATCTTGTTAAGTATTATTGCATCTGTGTTCATGAGGGATGGTGGTATATAATTTTCTTTTTTTGTAATGTCTTTGTCAGGTTTTGCTATTAGGATTACACTGGCCTCATAAAATGAGTTAGGAAGGATTTCCTCCTGCTCAGTTTTCTGAAAGAGTTTTTGTACACTGATATTATTTCTTCTTAAAGCTTTGATAGAATTCACCAGTGAACCATCTGAGTCTAGAGTTTTTTCTTGTTGTTTTGATGGCAGGTTTTTTTTTTAATACATAACAAATTCAATTCTGTTAATAGTTATAGGGCAAGTCAGATTTCCTGTTTCATCTTGTGGTAGTTTTCTTAATCATGTTTTTAAAGAAATTTGTCCATTTCATCTGTTACTGAATTTGGGGGCATAATTGTTTATTCTAACTTTTTACTTAGTTGGCTTTCCCACTAAGAGATGATAAACTCTTCTAGAATAGAGATTATTATATTCTTGGTATTTACATAATACTCTACAGTAAAAACAAAGGATAAGAGACTGATTCCTGCCTTTATCTCATTTTTTAAATTTTTATAATTCTTGATACTCTATTTATTTATCTTGTATATGTTTTTATAAGTTTCCTCAGATTTTGTAAATAAGAATTTATCCTTAATTCCCTGAAACATCTTTTTTTGATGGCATACGTCCCTTTGAAATCATTATTGCTTTCACTGAAGCAGGCTTTTAAGCAATAATGTATTTCAGTTATTCTATTTAACTTGACTACTCTTAGGTATTATTTACTCCTAAGTGTGATTGTTGTTTCAATTCTAATTTTGAAATTTATTTTTTCCAGTAGGGTGTTCTGCTTACCGCTCAACAGAATTATATTTTTAAATATTACAGTATTATTAGAAAATCAAACTGTAGATAGGAATGGTCAGGCAGGCGATGTATTTTAGTTTGTCTTTTGACTGGCAAGATTATTAAGCAGTATTTCAAATATGAAGAAAAGTGGCACATACAACTGATTTTTGGTTTCAGAAAGGTTGACATGACTGATTTTTGAAAACTGAAAAGGCTGGTATTTCCTGTCCCGCTTTTGCTTGAAAAGATTTAGCTACTACCAAGGGAATAATTTGTAAGCCCAAAGTTCTCATTTCAGATGCTACTTCCTCTATGAAGATTTTGTTATCCTTTTGGTGTACAGTTAATTAGTAGCTATTGTTCTGTACTTTATAATATGTTGCATATATTTTTACTGCAGCATATTTTACATTGTATTGTAAATATTTGTTCGTCTCTCTCAATAGACTGTGTACTTCTTGAGGACAGGGACAGTGTATTATTTATTTGTGGGTTTTATTTTTTTAGCAAAATAATAAGCATGCAATCTACTGAGTAAGCAGTCTAGATATCCTTATAAAATTAATGAATAAAAATTTAATAAGATAAATTATTGTATTGGTTTAGAAGAATTAAGGGGATTCTTTTCCTCTCAAACAGCGCACAGTTAAAAAATTTATTATGCTAACATCCAGTCAAAATGTACCTGTGTTCCTTATTGATCCTTTGATTCTGGAATTGATTAATAAAAACTTTGAACAAGTCAAGAATGCTTCTCATGGCTCCGCTTCAGAATGCAAGTTTTTCTGTGTTCCAAGAGACTTTACTGCATTTGCACTACAGTATCACCTATGGAAGAATGAGGTAAGATGATTTGCTTTCAGATAACGGAGTGTCTTTTACAAAACAGTATGGGATTAAACCAATTTAAACTGTAAAACATTTAAAAATTTTCATAAAGACTTTTATAGATTGTATCAGGAATACTTTAAGCAATAAGTAACAAAACACAATAGTGGCTTAAGCAAATAGGGGACGTATTTTTCTGATATAACAAGAGGTTAAAATGTTGGTGGCTGTTGGTATTAGTGGAGCTGTCCACTGAAGTCAGCATGTGCATCACTGAAATTCTTTCTGCATTTCTCTCATCCTCACAAGGTAGCTGTTGTAGCGCCAGGGTATCATAGTGACACTATCTCTCTCTTTTTTTTTTTTAATTACTAATACTGGTGTTTATTATCATCACAAAAAGATGAGAGTACCATTTTTTTGTACCTTTTTAAAAACTGACTTTTTTCAGCCATTGCATGAAGAGCCATCTTTTATGTCAAGTTATATACATGAATAGGCCAACTGTGTCTCATCCAAACTTTGTCCAAAATTTGGATATCTAATCATTCTTTTTTTAAAATTTCTCATTAGTCATCAGTGTTATACACGTCAGTGTATACATGTCAATCCCAATCACCCAATTCATCATACTACCACCCACACCACCCCGCTGCTTTCCCCACTTGGTGTCCATACGTTTGTTCTCTACATCTGTGTCTCAATTTCTGCCCTGCAAACCGGTTCATCTGTACTGTTTCTCTAGGTTCCACATATATGTGTTAATATACGATACTTGTTTTTCTTTTTCTGACTTACTTCACTTTATATGACAGTCTGTAGATCCATCCATGTTTCAACAAATGACCCATTTTTGTTCCTTTTTATGGCTGAGTAATATTCCATTGTATATATGTACCACATCTTCTTTATCCATTCGTCTGTCGATGGGCATTTAGGTTGCTTCCATGACCTGGCTATTGTAAAAAGTGCTGCAAGGAACATTGGGGTGCATATGTCTTTTTGAATTATGGTTTTCTCTGGGTATATGCCCAGTAGTGGGATTGCTGGATCATATGGTAATTCTATTTTTAGTTTTTTAAGGAACCTCCATACTGTTCTCCATAGTGTCTGTATCAATTTACATTCTCACCAACAGTACCAAGAGGGTTCCCTTTTCTCCACACCCTCTCCAGCATTTGTTGTTTGTAGATTTTCTGATGATGCCCATTCTAACTGGTGTGAGGTGATACCTCATTGTAGTTTTGATTTGCATTTCTCTAATAATTAGTGATGTTGAGCAGCTTTTCATGTGCTTCTTGGCCATCTGTATGTCTTCTTTGGAGAAATGTCTATTTAGGTCTTCTGCCCATTTTTGGATTGGGTTGTTTTTTTAATATTGAGCTGCATGAGCTGTTTTTATATTTTGGAGATTAATCCTTTGTCTGTTGATTTGTTTGCAAATATCTTCTCCCATTCTGAGGGCTGTCCTTTCGTCTTCTTTATGGTTTCCTTGGCTGTGCAAAAGCTTTGATGTTTGATTAGGTCCCATTTGCTTATTTTTGTTTTTATTTCCATTACTCTAGGAGGTGGATCAAAAAAGATCTTGCTGTGATTTATGTCACAGAGTGTTCTTCCTATGTTTTCCTCTAAGAGTTTTATAGTGTCTGGCCCTACATTTAGGTCTCTAATCCATTTTGAGTTTATTTTTGTGTATGGTGTTAGGGAGTGTTCTAATTTCATTCTTTTACATGTAGCTGTCCAGTTTTCCCAGCACCACTTATTGAAGGACTGTCTTTTCTGCATTGTATATCCTTGCCTCCTTTGTCATAGATTACTTGACCATAGGTGCATGGGTTTGTCTCTGGGCTTTCTTTCTTGTTCCATTGATCTGTGTTTCTTTTTTTGTGCCAGTACCATATTGTCTTGATGACTGTAGCTTTATAGTATAGTCTGAAGTCAGGAAGTCTGATTCCTCCAGCTCTGTTTTTTCCCCCTCAAGACTGCTTTGGCTATTTGGGGTCTTTTGTGTCTCCAAACAAATCTTATTATTTTGTTGCTCTAGCTCTGTGAAAAATGCCAGTGGTAATTTGATAGGGATTGCATTGAATCTGTAGTTGCTTTGGGTAGTATAGTCATTTTCACAATATTGATTCTTCCAGTCCAAGAACATGGTCTATCTCTCCGTCTGTTGGTATCATCTTTAATTTGTTTCATCAGTGTCTTATAGTTGTCTGCATACAGGTCTTTTGTCTCCCTAGGTAGGTGTATTCCTAGGTATTTTATTCTTTTTGTTGCAATGGTAAATGGGAGTGTTTCCCTAATTTCTATTTCAGATTTTTCATCATTAGTGTATAGGAATGCAACAGATTTCTGTGCATTAATTTTGTAACCTGCAACTTTACCAAATTCATTGATTAGCTCTAGTAGTTTTCTTGGGGCATCTTTAGGATTCTCTGTGTATAGTCTCATGGCATCTGCAAACAGTGACAGTTTTACTTGTTCATTTCCAATTTGTATTCCTTTTATTTCTTTTTCTTCTCTGATTGCCGTGGCTAGGACTTCCAAAACTATGGTGAATAATAGTGGCGAGAGTGGACATCCTTATCTTGTTCCTGGTCTTAGAGGAAATGGTTTCAGTTTTTCACCATTGAGAATGATGTTGGCTGTGGGTTTGTCATTTATGGCCTTTATTATGTTGAGGTAGGTTCCCTCTGTGTCCACTTTCTGGAGAGTTTTTATCATAAATGGGTGTTGAATTTTGTCAGAAGCTTTTTCAGCATCTATTGAGATGATTGTATGGTTTTTATTCTTCAGTTTGTTAATATGGTGTATCACATTGATTGATTTGTGTATATTGAAGAATCCTTGCATCCCTTGGATAAAGCCCACTTGATCATGGTGTATGGTCCTTTTAATGTGCGGTTGGATTCTGTTTGCTAGTATTTTGTTGAGGATTTTTGCATCTATATTCATCAGTGATACTGGTCTGTAATTTTCTTTTTTTGTAGTATTTTTGTCTGGTTTTGGTAGCATGGTGATGGTAGCCTCATAGAATGAGTTTGGGAGTGTTCCTTCCTTTGCAATTTTTGGGAAGAGTTTGAGAAGAATGGGTGTTAGCTCTTCTCTAAATGTTTGGTAGAATTCACCTGTGAAGCCGTCTGGTCCTGGACTTTTGTTTTTTGGAAGATTTTTAATCACAGTTTCAATTTCATTGCTTGTGATTGGTCTGTTCATATTTTCTATTTCTTCTTGGTTTAGTCTTGGAAGGTTATACCTTTCTAAGAATTTGTCCGTTTCTTCCAGGTTGTCCATTTTATTGGCATAGAGTTGCCTGTAGTAGTCTCTTAGGGTGCTTTGTATTTCTGCGGTGTCTGTTGTAACTTCTCCTTTTTCATTTCTAATTTTATTGATTTGAGTCCTCTTCCTCTTTTTCTTGATGAGTCTGGCTAATGGTTTATCAATTTTGTTTGTCTTTTCAAAGAACCAGCTTTTAGTTTTATTTGTCTTTGCTGTTGTTTTCTTTATTTCTATTTCATTTATTTCTGCTCTGATCTTTATGGTTTCTTTCCTTCCGCTAACTTTGGGTTTTGTTTGTTCTTCTTTCTCTAGTTCCTTTAGGAGTAAGGTTAGATTGTTTATTTGAGATTTTTCTTGTTTCTTGTTTCTTATAGCTTGTATAGCTATAAACTTCCCTTTTAGAACTGCTTTTGCTGCATCCTATAGGTTTTGGATCGTTGTGTGTTCATTGTCATTTGTCTCTAGGTATTTTTTGATTTCCTCTTTGATTTCTTCAGTAATCTCTTGGTTATTTAGTAACGTATTGTTTAGCCTCCATGTGTTTGTGTTTTTTACGTTTTTTTCCCTGTAATTCATTTTTAATTTCATAGCGTTGTGGTCAGAAAAGATGCTTGATATGATTTCAATTTTCTTAAAGTTACTGAGGCTTGATTTGTGACCCAAGATGTGATCTGTCCTGGAGAATGTTCTGTGCACACTTGAGAAGAAAGTGTAATCTGCTGTTTTTGGATGGAATGTCCTATAAATATCAATTAAATCTGTCTGGTCTGTTGTGTCATAAAGCTTCTGTTTCCTTATTTATTTTCATTTTGGATGATCTATCCATTGGTGTAAGTGAGGTAGATGTTAAAGTCCCCCACTGTTATTGTGTTACTGTCGATTTCCTCTTATAGCTGTTAGCAGTTGCCTTATGTATTGAGGTGCTCCTATGTTGGGTGTGTATGTATTTATAATTGTTATATCTTCTTGGAGTGATCTCCTGGTCGTTATGTAGTGTCCTTTCTTGTCTCTTGTAACATTCTTTATTTTAAAGCCTATTTTATCTGATATGAGTATTGCTACTCCAGCTTTCTTTTCATTTCCATTTGCATGGAATATCTTTTTCCATCCCCTCACTTTCAGTCTGAATGTGTCCCTAGGTCTTAAGTGGGTCTCTTGTAGAGAGCATATATATGGGTCTTGTTTTCATATCCATGTAGCAAGCCTGTGTCTTTTGGTTGGAGCATTTAATCCATTCACGTTTAGGGTAATTATCGATATGTATGTTCCTATTACCATTTTCTTAATTGTTTTGGGTTTGTTTTTGTAGGTCCTTTTCTTCTCTTGTGTTTCCCACTCAGAGCAGTTTCTTTAGCATTTGTTGTAGAGGTGGTTTGGTGGTGCTGAATTCTCTTAGCTTTTGCTTGTCTGTAAAGCTTTTGATTTCTCCATCAAACCTGAATGAGATCCTTGCTGGGTAGAGTAATCTTGGTTGTAGTTTCTTCCCTTTCATCACTTTAAGTATATCATGCCACTCCCCTCTGGCTTGTAGAGTTTCTGCTGAGAAATCAGCTGTTAACCTTATGGGAGTTCCCTTGTATGTTATTTGTCGTTTTCCCTTGCTTCTTTTTTTTTTGTGGTACGCGGGCCTCTCACTGTTGTGGCCTCTCCCGTTGCGGAACACAGGCTCTGGACAGGTAGGCCTAGCGGCCATGGCTCACGGGCCCAGCTGCTCCGTGGCATGTGGGATCTTCCCG